CTGTGTTCGCTGCTCGGCAACCTTCGTCGTCGTCGTGAGCGTCAACAGGGCCCCGGGGGGAGAGCAGGACCACCCGGGAGGGGTGGGTTGGGTATAGGGTCGGACTGTGATTACCCCGAGAGCTAGCCCGGGCCGCCTCTGTGTACCGACGAATCCAAACTCATGGGTATTTGCCGACATCAAACAGGTTCGCCAATAATTTCTTCTTCGGAGATGATAAAGCTTTCGCCGTACTGCGCAGTGCAATGAAGAGAAAGAAGGGGGGGAGGGGGGCAGAAGCGAAGGGGACTGTGTGAATGGTAGGGGTGGGGAGTTGTCTCCCCCCTAATCTCCTCCTCTTTTTCCCTTCTCTTTCTCTCTCTCTCTCCCTCTCTCTCTCTCTTTCCCTTCTCTCTCTCTCCCTCTCGCTCTCTTTCCCTTCTCTCTCCCTCCCCCTCTCTCCTTTCTCTCTCGCTTCGGGTAAGCCCACCCACCCTTTCGGACCCACCTTGGGAATACAGTCCGGCTGTAGTCCATCTGTCGGCCCACCGGGCGCACAGTATACGTGCCCCTCACCCCACACCTCGCCATACAGACAGACCGGCAGATACACAGACAGACGGACAGACCGTCATGTCCGACCCGAAAACAAATTGATGTAAAATATTTCATGCCGGCAATGATCGCCCTGGGAGCGGCGCCGGCTGCGCGCGGCGGGTCCCCTCGGATCCTATCCCCCTCCCCCCCGTCCCCCCAGAGACATCCCCCCACGCGCGCGAAACGTGACAAAAGGGGCCAACGAGAGTGGGCAGCGTCGCGCCGGGACCAAATAAACAAATTAATGGGTGATCATCGTCATCTGCTCTTTTGCGCGAACCCGAACGACCCGAACTCGTATAATCCCCACACTGGTGGATATAATTGCGTTTCCACCCAGACCGAGCCGCCGTGGCGGTGTGTGTGTGTGTGTGTGTGTGTGTGTGTGTGTGTGTGTGTGTGTGTGTGAAAGCAGATAGATTTGCACCTCTTCTCTTGTACCGGGTGCAACTGTGAATACGTAGCAGTGTTGCGGGTTTGTATACTCAATACGGCCGCAGGGGCCTTGGCCCCTTACGGGTGTAAAGAGTAGGCAAACCCGTAACACAGCTGCGCAATCACTGTTACACCTGATATAATTGTTTGAGGTAGCAGAGGGCGAACGAGTGTTTTCACCTTGCCAAGTAAAGATCCATAACAAAGCACAGTTCCGCATTCTTGTTGTCTATGTACTTGTTTCTTCCTAGTTGAACAAAAACTACTCTGTGCCAAACAAGTGTATGGATCTTCAAGTCTGCGCACCGTTTCTGTGCGCGCGTTCCTCATCCAGAGTCTTTTCCTCGGCGGTCGCTCTCTTATTCAGGCTCCTAAATTGGTGGTGGCGCGCAACGCAACGCTTTTTCATTTAATATCGTTTAGCAACTCCCATCTCTCTCTCTCTCTCTCTCTCTCTCTCTCTCTCTCTCTCTCCTTTGCTCGCTCGCTCGCTCTTTGTCGACGGTCGCTTTTATGAGTTGGCCGACGCTCTCCAAATTGCAGACAGGTCTCTATAATTGGCTCGCTGTGCTCAACCATGACGGTTTTTCTTTTCTTTCTACTTTCTGTGACGAAGAAGGTTTTGCAATCACTTTCGAATCATTTACTTCTGCGTGCGGATGTCGCGGTGGCGAACGGGCGTACTCGTGATCTTGCAGATAATTACAAGAACACTGTAAAAAATATCGTCGTAAATTTACAAAATTTTTGTAAACTTGAATTATAATTTAAGTTGTGAATTAACGCAATTACTGCACGTACTTTTACGATTTCAAATTGTAATTTTACAACTTGCGTCAAGGAAAATTTTCCTGTAAATTTGCCTACAATTTTTACAGTGAATGCAGGAATGTTCGCGGTGAGGTTGTGCTGGACTGTAATAATAGACATCAAGCAGGTTTATTGTCGGGGATCGGAAAAGGAAAATTATCCCAGCCAACCCTAAAAAGCGGGAAAAACAATACCGAATGATTTTTTTTTTATCCGTGTTTTTGTCAATACACTATTTATTTTTGCCCCGTGGCCGTCCGTACGCCATCACTTGTTGCCCCTTTCGGTTTCCCCTGTGCGATAGGGTTGGAGGCGGGTGGATGAGGTCGAGGGTGGTGGTGGGTGGTGGGGGCGTTCGTCCGAGCGGGGATGAGACGGAGCATATATCTCTCTCTCCCTCTCTCTCTCCTTCTCTCTCTCCTTCTCTCCCTCTCTCCCTCTCTCTCCCTCTCTCTCCCTCTCTCCCTCTCTCTCCCTCTC